CAAGCGGCCGCGCGCAGGACTCTGTCCATCTTTCCGCGCAGCCTCCTTCTCTCAAGACTGGAGCCGGCAGTTGGCAGCAGTCAGTCTGCTGGCTCTGGAGACGGTCGGAGTGCCAGGTGTGCCTTGCGGTACAGGTGCCTCTGAGTCTCGAGAAGGAAGGAACAAAGGTGGAGGAACTGAGATTTTTCGAAGCCCCGTCATTCAAAGGCACCTTGAAATGTAAATGTGTTTGCTTTCGCTCTGGTGGAAGTCGGTATCGATAACTCCTATATTCAGAAAATACTAGGTAACATCACAGGAGCTATGTGCTAAACTTTACTAGGATACCCCAGATTGTTGGATTCTCCCTAACACTCTTGAGACACCGTTTAAGATATGAAAGAGAATTGTCTGAAGACAACCCAAGAGAACTCCAAAACTAAATTAAATTAAATGAAAATTCAGTCTTGTTCTAATAGTATGAATGTTTACGTTCCAGTTCAGCCGTGTTTTATTGCTTCTGATTTCATCATTGTGTACTGTTCTGTGAACCTCGTTTTGAAGTCACTGGCTTAAACCCTTTTGAAGTTGAATTCAATTATCAGAGATCACAGAATGCACATACAAAAAAAAATCATGTAAATCTGAAGAATTCTCTTTATGCTGAACGATGATGAAACACATTTTTAAAATTGCCTGGTGGATCTTATCTAGTTTATATTATTGGCATTCTCTTTCGCATTAGCACTCCATTCATAGTGCAGGTATTCTGCATCCACAGTAAAGTACCATGGGAATTATTCTTTTACTTTTGTCCATATTTCATTTTTTTAAGTTTATTTGTTTTGAGAGAGAGAGGGAGACAGAGGATCTAAACAGGCTCTGTGCTGTCAGCTCAGAACCCGACTCCAAGCTCCAGCTCCTGTACTGAGCCCAAACCAAGAGTTGGAGGCTTAACGGACTAAGCCACCCAGGCGCCCCATTTATGCAAAACCATTTGGATTAAAACCATTATCTAGGTTTACTTCAGTATACTGACATCTGAATAAACAGCCAAAAGTTTTAACCCTATCACTCAGGAGGACATTGTAGAGCTGTAGATCTACTTGTACCGAAAAAAAAAAAAAAAAAAAAAAAATTGGGGCAGGATGAGCAAAAAGGGGAAAGGACAGATTTTTTAACTCTTTTTTTTACTATTCTTTATGTGGAACCACAAATTTTCAAGTCTTGTAACTGAACTTGTGCTAACTCTCTAGTGCAAATAAATCAGAGATCTAACTTTCAAAAGGCAGGAAGAAAGAGAGACAGAAAACCCATCGCAAATCTGTATCACCAGGTAAGCAAACATTATTTTCCTGTCTTCTGCTAAAAATGTACCACTAAAAGTTTTTCTGATAAAAAGTGATGACATGATCACTAGCTGTCATAGTACATTACAGATAACTATGAATACCAAGAATGAGCATTAAAAGGATATGTTCATAGGAAATATTTTTATTATGTTTATTAAAATTGCAATATTTATCCACAGATATTAAATTGTGTCTGATCACAATAGTGCAGGAGAACATTGTTTGGTGGTCACACAGGTATTAAGCATTTTCCCCAAATACTCTGGTCACTGTGTTTGATCAAAAGGGTTGTTTCGATGTTTCTCATTTCCTCTAAGTAATTGTTATCCTAGAAATGAAAAGAAAGAAACCAAAATTCCCATGGCAGCTTACTGTATACTACTCAACAATTCTTTATTTAGGTATGCATCTGATTGTCAGTCAAGCAAGATATTTGAGTATATAAATTACTCCCTAGGAGTTAGTAACGCCATAGAAAACTATATCACCTTACCAGCTTTGAAAGGCCTTGAAAACAATTATCTGTGTGAATTTTTTTTTAACTATTGAGGACTGTTAGGTAATCTGCAAAATGATTTAACTCTGTAGGCCTTTTAATAAAGACTGTAATCATTTACATAGCAATATTCAAATTACATAGCATTTTCCTGCACATTTTCATTTTATCCTCACATCAATCATGTAATGTACTTTTGAAAGGAACAAGTCTTTAGTTTAACATGTGAGAAAACAGCAGTTCTATTACTTGGGTCACACATCCCAGGACTGGAAACAGGGAATGACTTGAGTTCAGAGGCCTAATGGATGCATCTGTCTCTATTAGATTCTCTCAGAAGCAGATGCAAAAGTTTATGGGGGGCTGGGGAGGGGGCGGGCAATAACACCTGTAAAAGAAAAGGGGCAGAAGCAGGACTGGGCAGGCTACTCCAACAGGGAGCTCCAGAACAAAGGTTATTCTTTAAACTTCCCCCATTGAGTAGAAATGATTAGGCCTTGCTCAGTCATTAACTGGGGACAACCCTGAGAAAAGCATAGGATGGTAACCAGAAATTGAAGACACAAACAGCTGGAGAGACTGTCAGCCAGCTAACCACATTCCTTGCAGCTGCAGGGTGAGTCCTTTCTTAAAAGACGATCTGATTGACACATCCCCACATCTGCCAGTTTACCTTGTGTGTCCGTGGATCTACTTCATAACATATGTGGGGAGCTGCCCCGTCAGGGCTCTGGTTGGCTCCTCTTCCTGAGGGGAAAGTTAGAAGAAGGAAGTAAAGAGACTATAGCCTCCACAGCTGTGGTTGGTCTCACAGCCAAAACTGGTACTCATTAAGTCCCTTCTCCACTGCCTGCTCTAAAATCCCTCACTCTGTTGGTTTCAGTGGTTTACGTGGTGGTGTTTCCCAAACGCTCATTCTTGAGGGGTCTGAGCTCCTGGTGACCTTACCTGCGTTTACCTGACCTTACCTCCATTACCACATCATTACATTTGTCACAATTAGGCAAGTACGTACCAAGATGCACCCAGTCGCCACCTGAGTTCCATGCATGTTCCTCCCCTCTCCCATCAAGTAACACAAGCCCTGCCTCCTTCTGCTGTGTTAATTACCCCTAACAAGATGGTGATTCCTATTCTTGCCTGCTAGTTTCTGGCCACACAGAGCCCAAAGTGTTCAAGTGGCAGCTGTAGCTTATCGTTCAATAAGGTCTTGGCTATCTTGTGACAAGAGCATATGTATTTTGAACATCAGGATCTCTAACCTTGCAGAATTCAGAGCTGTGGGGCCTTCAGTTGGTCACACAAAGTGACGGGGAGGCCACTCCTGCTTCCATCCTTTGGTTCATGGACCCATGTATTCTTCCTCTTGGGGACATAGTGCTATATAAAGTTCTGTAATTCAATGTTTATATATGTCTTGGAGGATGGTACCCCCATCCTTTTGGGGTGTTGCCACTGAGCTGATGCTACAGCTGTACTTTCAAGATGCCACACCAATACTCTATTTAGCCAGTAGCTTCTAGATGACACAGTATATGACATGATCACTGGACCTGTAAAATGAGTTCCCTGATTGGATCTTATGTTGTTGCATGTCTGTAGATCAGGCATTCTATAAGTGGCTTGATAGTGCACAGGAAAGGCAAACCCGTACCCAGATTAAGTTTCTAGTCCTGTGGGAAAAACCACTGCCTCTTCCAGGATGAAAATGGTCCCCTGTAGACCATTTGCTACCAAGTGGCCAGTTAGTCTCCACATTGGTGTCTGTTGCTGGCAGATTGATTCAAAGCATACAATCACTAGATTGACCTTCATAAGTGGAAGTCATGTTTTTTGACCCATGCAAAGCGTCTATCTCTTTCACTGTGATCATGTCATCTGTTTGCCTATCATGCCAGTGAATGTCAGCTAGTCAAGTTACTTTGCTTGGTCATTTGGGTCTCAGACCCTGTGGGTGCTTTCTAATGGGTATTAAAATACAATATAAAAATCTTCACACCTTGTTCCCACTCTCAAATGTCTGTCTACATGTCTCTTTTTCAGACCTCCTTATCTCTGATATTTGTATTTTTCTCCTTCCAGGCTTCTGACCGTTCCCCATTGGCCAGAGCCCATCTATGTTTTGACTCTAGGCCAGTTTCCCTTTCACACAAAGTGGATGAC